GATTTTTGTCAAGGGTGGCAAGGCAATCCAATGGAGAATGAATAGTCTTTTTAACATTATGGTGCTGGAACAACTAGATACCCCTATGCAAAAGAATGAAATTGGCCCTCTACCTCATACCAGATACAAAAATTAACTCAAAATGGATTAGAAAATTCTAAATGTAAGAGCTCTTGATAAATGCCGTCCAGTTGTTTCCGATGAACAGTGACCCTGTATAGGGTTTCCAAGGAACCGCTGGTGGGTTTGAACTGCCAACCTTGTGGTTAGCAGTCCTGTGCTTATCCTATAGTACCACACATAAAAACTATAAAACTCTTAGGAGAACAAACAAACATACTGGAGGTTTCAAAAAGTTTGTGGAAAAAATGGATTTCAAAAATTATGCTGTGACTTCAGTTTATGACTTCTTAGATATGACACCTAAAGCACAGTGACAAAAGAAGAAAATTGATAAATTGAAATTCTTCAAAATATAAGACTTTCATGTGAAAAAGGACTCTATCAATAAAGTAAAAAGACAGCCCACAGAATGGGAGAAAATATTTGCAAATCCTATATCTAATAAAGAACCTGCCTCTGGAATATATAAAGCATTCTTAATAACTAACCAGTAATCAGACAAAGAATGCATTTTTTTTTTTTTAAATGGGCAAAAGGTTTGAAAAGATTCTTCTACAAACAAAATTACAAATGACCAACAAGCACATGATAGTTGGTCAACATCCCTAGCTATCAGGGAAATGTAAATCAAAACCACATTGAAATACCACTTCACATCCTTGAGGATGGCTAGAAAAAAAAAGTTAGATAATAACCAGCATTGGTGAGGATGTGGAGAAATCAGAACCCTCTTACCCTGCTCGTGGGGTTTTAAAATGGTGCTGCTGCTTTGGGAGATGGTCTAGCAATGATTGAACAGAGAATCACCTTTGTTGTTGTTAAATGCTCGTCGAGTCATTTCTGACACATAGAGACTCTGTATAGGGTTTCTGAGGAATGATTTGTTACCATGTAGTTGTTTTTGTTGTTATAGCCGTCAAGTTGGTCCCGACTCATAGCAACCTTGTATATGGTTTCTGAGAGTGGTTGGTGGGTTAGAACTGCGGATCAGTTACCAGTCTAGTGCTTATCCAAGGCTCACAACACCAAGGCTCACTGTATGGATATACCACCTTTCATTTATCCATTGAGGGATATTTGAGTTGTTTCAAATACAAATACAATGCTGTCTTGAACAATTATGTACAATTCATTGTGTGGACTGGACAAACAAAATGTGGTATAATACAGTGGACTATTATTTGCCAACAAAAAATCCTGATAAATGCTAAAATATGGATGAATTTTTAAACATTATACTAAGTGGAAGAAGCCAATCACACATACACACAGACATACACTGCATAATTTCATTTATATGAAATGTCAGGAGCAAATCCACATGGACAGCAAGTAGATTAGTGGCTTCCAAGGGCTGTGGAGGGAGGAATTGGGGGAATGATTGTTAATAGATACAGCATGATAGCAGTGTTCTAGTATTAGAGGATGTAGAATGAGGGATATCATGGTTGAAAGCAGAGAGTACCAAAAATATGTTTACCTGTGTTTGATTAATAATGCAAATATATTCAACTATGTAGATATTCAACTATGGCTAACATTGAGAAGAATAAGAATTCCAAAACACTTAATTATGCTCATGCAGATCCTGTACATAGAACAAGGCGCAATCGTTGGAACAGAGCAGAGGGATATAATTATGCCTGTTTTATAATTAGGAAAGGTATGGGTGATACTATAGGATACGCACTGGCCTACTAACCTCAAGGTCACCAGTTCACTCTAGGAAACCCTATTTAGGGTGACTATGCGTCGGAACTGACTCAATGACTTGCAAAATAAAAAACAAAGGAAATTCATTTCCTTCCATTTCTGGAACCTAGAAGTTAAAAATCAAAGTGCTAAGTGTGAACTCCTTCTGAAGTCTCCAGTGGACCATCCTTTTGTGGCCTTTATAGCTTGTGGTAGCCCTAAGCATTCCCTGGTTTGTGGTAGCATTGTTCCAGTCTGTCTCAGTCATCACATGGCATTCTACCCTGTGTGTGTCTGTGTTGATTCTCTTTTTATGAGGATACCAGTCATGTTGGATTAGAGCCCACCCTACTCAAGTATGACCTCATGCTAACTAATTACATGTAAAGACACTCTGTTCAAGTAAGTAATACTCACAGGTACCAGGAGTTAGGACTTGGACATATCTTTTAGGGAGACACATATCAACCTGTAACAATGGCACCTCAGACACAAAACATTTTTGGTACTATAACCATCTCTCAAGTCTCTAAAGCGGATCACTGATACCAAACCATCACCACAGACTGTTACCTTGAAGGATCATGTCACTAAGGGGATGCCCACCACAAGGATACCTAATTCTCTAGAGACTCAAATGTCCCTCAACGTTCTCAATTCAGAGAGCAATAATGTTGTGCTCTGATAACCCACAGTGGATAAAACCCACTGCCATTGAGTTAATTCTCACTCATAGCTATATAGATTCCATGATTGTAAATCTTTATGGAAGCAGAGAGCCTCATCCGTCTCCTGTGAAGATGCTGGTGGGTTTGAACCACTGATCTTGTGGTTAGCAGCCCAATGCTTACCTCACAGCATCACCAGGCCGTCTTTATCCAACTAACAGCCCAACTTTAATGATCACTTCAAAGTGTAGCAGCCATTTCTGTTAGTTGGAAAATAACATTTCACTAATTCTCAGATACACATTTTTTTCACTTTTTAAGCTCTGAAGTTGGAATGCATCTTATAATTGGTGTGATAAGAAAGCATTGTGTTGATTTAATTGGAAGCATTTTTTCTTTCTGGTTGTTGTTCTTAAGTGCCATTGAGTCAGTTCCAACCCACAGCGACCCTGAATAGGGTTTCCAAGGAGCAGCTGATGGATTTGAACTGCCAACCTTGCAGATAGCAGTTCATTGCTTATCCTACAGTGACACTCCAGGACTTCTTTCTTAGTGGTATTTTAATGAATGGTGTGTTTTACATTAGATGGTCAGTCAGATTTGAGGAAGTTAGTAGAAACATAAAGCAAAGTTAGACATAAAGCAAGCAAAGAAAGTTACATAATTATATTTTCAGAAATGTTACATGGTGAGATATTGTCATTTATCAGATTTGAGACAATTGTTTCCCTCTCTGTGATCCTGAGCAAATCTCTTGATTTCTATGCCTCAACTTTCACCTGTGTCCACCTGAATGCTTATAAATTAACCTGACAACTATCATTTAAGTTCACTTAGTATGTGCCAGGGTTTTCCATATGTAATTCTCAACAATTTTCTGGGGAGAAAATGAAAACTCAGCAAGCTTCAGCAGTTTTCCCAGAAATTGGGTAAGGGATGGAACTACCACTGGATCCTTGACCTGATCCTAAAGTCTAGATTCTTCTCTGCCAGACCTATCTTCATCAAGCTCACCTTACCCAAGAATAAGAAATTCTCTAGATTTAAAAAAAAAAAAAAGAAATTCTCTAGATTTTTATGAATGTTGACTATATAGATCCAGTTATGAGTGAAGCAACAAGAGATGACTAAGGGATTTTTGAAGAGGGTACAGTCTGGAAGATTAGGGAAGGAAACATAAGAGAAAAGCTAAATAGGGGAATTACGTTCTGTGCTTACTAAGCTTTTATAGTCTGCAGCATACTGAGGACAGAGACCATTGGGGACAGTTCAGAAGCCTGGAGCTGGTGCCATCCTGTACAGAAGCCAACCCAGACACCGCTGAGGGGCTTAGGGCAGCAAAGGAAGTTCAGGCAAGTGACCGAAGGAGCGAAGGTGACAAGGGCAATGGGGAGACATTTGCGTAGTAAAGGGGTATATCTTTCTTTAGAACGATCACTCAGGCTAATGGAGGGAGAAAAATTTGAGGAGGGAAGATCTAAACCCAAATACAGAGCCATGGGGAGTGAGTTCCAGAAAGGTGTTTGGAAAGGTGCTTGGCAGCCTACTTGGTGGCCCATGTTAAGTATGATGAGAGAGAAGAAGGGTACTCCAAGATCAACTCTTAGGTACTTTAGTGACAGACACCAAAGGGACGGATATGTAATCAGTGGAGGGTGGGTATGGGGGGCGGTAAGGGGCCGTATGTTCCTCAGACTCAAGGGTCTCTCTGCATTTGTATTTTAACTGGTAGAGTGCAGAGCTGTTGCATTTCCCAGAGAAATCTGAGGGTGGAGGTGGGGGAGACGCATTAAAGAGAATAGGAAAGGAAAAGTCCAGAGAAGCAAAGCTATTTAAAAGCACCACTCTTCCCATTTCAGTGTCATGCAGTCCTGTCTGCTGTAACACTTGCTCCTTATAACTGTCTGGAGAACACAGCTGAGTTGGGTCACTGCCTTCCCTGGGATTAACAAAATGTCTAAGCTGGTAGGGAAATGCAGGGGGTTAGACTCCTATAGGGCACTGAGCCTTTCTAGAGGAGCAGGGATGGACCTGAATGATTTCATTACTTTTCAGAGGGAAGGAGAGGGAAAGGCTGAGGCAGTGCAATGGCTAAACACTTGGCTGCTAACCAAGAGGTTGGAAGTTCAGTGGCTCTGTCAGAGAAAAGACCTGGCATTCTGTTCCAGTGAAAATTATAGCCTTGTGGGGCAGTTCTACTCTGTCCTACAAGATCACTATGAGTCAGAATCAACTCAGTGGACACAGAACAACAACAACCCCATTTAGGAAGGCTCCGCAGGACCCACCCACTAACCCCAGTTGGCCTCCTAGGCCATCCAAGCTTGGGGTTGGGAAGGACCCCTTTGTCAACCTTCTCTACTCCAGCTTCAAGGAGCATTAGGACACCAACGCTGAAGGGACAGGCTGGCCGTGTCCATCACTGTGAAGATGGGGAAACTGAGGCAGGAAATGAGAGAGGTGCCTTGTATGGGATTCCTTTTCTGAAGGCCTTGGTCTCGCTAAGCACAGTTCTCCTGCAGGAACAGAAAGGCATGGCCTGGGAATTAACCCCACTTCTGCTGTTCGTGGCCTGGGTAACCACCATGTGCAGTGCCCGGGAAAGGACAGACCTGCTCAATGTCTGCATGGATGCCAAGCACCACAAGACAAAGCCAGGTCCTGAGGACAAGCTGCATGACCAGGTGAGGATGCAGTGAGGCTCCAGGCCAAGGAGGCAGCTGGTCTAACAAGAAGAGGAAGTCAGAAGGCTTAAAAAAAAAAAAAAAAAGAGGAAGTAAGGGTGAGGGAAGAGTTGAAATCTTAGAAATCCTCACACCCCTCCCTGAGTTGTTACTGTGGAAATGGATGAAGGTGGGACAGGGTGGCTGAGGTGATCCTGGTGTTCCCCTCAAAAAGTACCCCATGAAACAATATGGGGTAGTCATTTGGTGGGCACCTAATAGGTACTATGTGTTTTCTGTACATGATTCATTTTTCCAGTGACTCTTTAATATAGGTTGATCCACAATATCCAAATGAGGAAACAGGCCAGAGGAGCACATAGATTCATGCAGGAATTATACATGACCAAATTTTGTCTGTATGAAGACTAAGGTGCGCCTGACCCAAGCCACGGTTCAATAACCTCATATGCATGCAAAAGTTGGACACTGCACATGGAAGACTGTAGAAGAATCGATGTATTTGAGTTATGGTGTTGGAGGACAATATGAAAAGTACCATGGACTGTCACAAGAACAAACTAATCTGTGTTGGAAGTGCAGCCAGAGTGCTCCCTGGAAGCCAGGATGGCCAGACTTCATCTCTCATACTTCGGACATATTGTCAGGAGGGACTAGTCACTGGAGAAGGATATCATGTTTGGTAAAGTGGAGGGTTGGAGAAAAATAGGAAGAACCCCAACGAGATGGATTGGCACTGTGGCAGCAGCAATGAGTTCAGGTGTAGCAACGATTGTGAAGCTGGCTCAGGACCAGGCAGTGCTTCGTTCTGTTATGCATAGGGTCGCTATAAGTTGGTACTGACTAGATGGCACCTATTAAAAACAACAATAGCTTTTGTGGTGGAATAGGGCAGACCGGAGAACGTTCCTCTAGGGATTTGGAGGGTGAGAAGGGAGAAGGCTTTTATTACACACCAGTCCCATGAAGTGCCAAGATTAGAGGAGGAGACTAAGGTGACAGAGGGCAGAGATGCTGTGCATTTTACCTTCTTTAAAAATGTGTGTCAGTGAATCACAACCCCATTAGTCTCTGTGTCTTCTTTTCCTTATGTTCTTTAAGCTCTTTACTATCCTAGAGTGAAATTGAACTAATGGAGCCTAACTGCACATTTGTTATTGTTGTTGTTAGGTGCCATTGAGTCAGTACTGACCCATAGCGACCTTATGCACAGCAGAACAAAACATTGTCCGATCCTGGGCCAACCTCACTATTGCTGCCACGTTTGAGTCCATCGATGCTGCCACTTGGCTAATACATCTGGTTGGGGGTCTTCCTCTTTTTCTCTGACCCTCCACCTCACCAAACATGATATCCTTCTCCAGTGAGTGGTCTCTCCTGACAATATGTCCAAAGTATGAGACACGAAGTTTGGCCATCTTGGCCTCTAAGGAGCATTCTGGCTGCACTTCTTCCAAAACGGAACTATTGGTTCTTCTGGCAGCTCATGGCACTTTAAATATTCTCCTCCAACAGCATAACTCAAAGGCATCAACTCTTCTACGGTCTTCCTTATTCACTGTCCAGCTTTTGCATGCATATGAGGTTATTGAAAACACCATGGCTTGGGTCAGGCGCACCTTAGTCCTCAAGCTGACATCTTTGCTCTTCAACACTTTAAAACAGTTTTGTGCAGGAGATTTGCTTAATGCAATATGTCGTTTGATCTCTTGACTGCTGCTTCCATAAGTGCACATACAATTTTAAAATATTAACACAGTGCTCTATCTGTACTACAAAGGCAAAGCAAACAGAATCTAACATAGGATAAAATAATATCTTTCAATATGTAAATTCTCCGGTATGACTATCTTTGAAACCAAACCAGCTGCCATAGAGTAAGTCTAGCACACAGAAACTCCATGTGTCAGAATAGAACTGTGCTCTCTAGGGTTTTCAGTGACTGATCTTCCAGACATATATCACCACACCTTTTCTCAGAAGCACCACTGGATGGATTTGAACCTCTAATCTCTTGGTTAGCAGTCAAATACTTAACTGCAACACCCAGGGATTGTGAAATTACACATGCTTGCTTTTTATTCCCCAAATCATTATGAATGGGCAACTACAAATGAAGATTAATTTAAAAATAAAAGCACTTGCCTTTGGGTCAATTCTGATTCATGTCTGCAGAGTAAACTGCACTCCACAGAATTTTCAGAGCTGTGACCTCCTGGAATTAGATTGCCAGGGCTTCTTCCAAAGAACTTCTGAGTGGGTTTAAACCATTAACTTTTCAGCTAGTAGTTAAGTGCTTAACCATTTACACTCTCCAGGAACCCTGTGGTGCCTTGAATTTACTTGACATAGTTTTTCTATCCAAAGTCGTCTTAATTCTCACCAAGTGATTGGGTTGTTGTTGTTAAGTGCCTTCGAGTCGGTTCCAACCCATAGCGACCCTGTACAGGCTTTCCGAGGAACAGCTGGTGAGCTTGAACCGCCGACTTTGCAGTTCAAATGGTTTTAGCAGTCTGGTGTGTTTGCCTACAGCGCCACACCAGGACCATGCAAATAAAGTATACAGGATACTAAGGCTGGGATTGGTTAATTTTGCCCTCCAGGTAGGCTTATAAACAGCCATCTCTGAAGTAGGGAGGAAAGATCCCAGGACCAACAAGAAGGAAGAGCATGAGAGAAGCATGAGAAAGAGTAATGGCAGAGTTAATGGTAGAGGCAGTGACAGGGAGCGACAAGAGCAGCTAAGGGCTCTAGATCCATGGACTGAGTAAAGCTGAACGCCTACAGGCAGGAGATTGGCTTGAAGAATGTGCCCTGTGGGCATTCACAGACTGGCTAAAAAGAATTTTGCAACACTTGCCAGAGCAGGGCAGATGCCAAGGGATCACATGGCTAAGAGGCCAAAGACAAGAGTGAGGTGTGTCTGTAGCATGGCAGACGGGAGGCGTTCCTGATTGGAGAACTGTTACATCCTGAGTAGTTTCTGATACTGAATTGTACCCTGTTCACTTCCCTAATAAACCCCGTAATTGTGAGTATTATTGTGAGTTCTTTATATCCATTGCAACTGATTATTGAACCTAGATGTGAAGCAGAGGGTACTGTGGGAGAGGTGGTTGGTGTCAGAATAGGGTAAAGAAGGTTGTATGGTAGAGGCATGTCTGACCTCTGTTTCATAGGAATAGGACTTGGACTGATTTTGAGTTTATCTTTCCCTCTTGTGAAGCCAGAGGAAGCCAGACATGGCTCCCACATGGTCATAGCAGACTCCAAAGATTGATACAGATGTGTTTAATGTCAACTTAAATGCTATATAAAACACAATAAATAGTTAAATACTGCCAATGATGACACAATTTTCTGAAATATTAAATAACTCCAGTAAAATGAAACATATAATGCACCCTTCTATTTTATAACACATGTAGTCATGGAAAATCTAGTTTCTATTAAAAACTTGCTAAAATACATGTGTCTATATAAAATAGGTTGTTCGGCTCTAGACTTAGGAAATCATAAATAGGTTTATCATTCATATTTTCAGTAAATATTTTTAAGGGCCTTCTATGGAGTCCTGGTGTGGCACTGTGGGTTAATGTGCCAGACTGCAAAGCCGTTTGAACTGCAAGGTCGGCGGTTTAAGCTCACCAGTTGCTCCTTGGAAACCCTGTATAGGGTCGCTATGGATCAGATCCAACTCGATGGCACTTAACAACAACAACATGTGTCTAAGGTTTCTGGATGTTGTAAACTCTTTGCTCTCAAATACTAACTTAAAGGTTGTTGATTAGAACCCACCCAGTGATGCTGTAGGAGAAAGAACTGCCTTAGTAAGCATTGCTATTGTTGGCAAGTGCTGTTGAGTTGATTCCGACCCATAGTGACCAGGTATAGGGTTTCCAAGGAGCAGCTGGTGAGCTTGAACCACTGACCTTGCAGTTCAAACGGCTTTACAGTGTGGCACATTAACCGACAGCAGGTATACAATAATATTTTTTTAAATGAAAAATTTTAAAAAGAACCTTTTAAAGTGTTATGTGTTATATAAGAATAAGTAGCAAATTATTGCTACAAGATCATTGCTGTGATCCCATATAGAGTTTTCAAGGAGCGGGTGGTGAGTTTGAACCATGACTTTGCAATTCAAACCAACTTTGCAGTCCTGCTCATTAACCCAGAACTCTACACAAGATCACAGAAATCCTTATTACACAAAAACGTAAAATGTGAAGTGATTGTTTCTCAACACATCCTCCATTTAGCTCTAAACATTTCTGAAGGCATTGTTTCCATCTCCTTCACTTTTCCTTGAAGAATTCTGCACTTTTCAACTTACACCACATCAAAATGACAGTTTGGCATTCTCAAGTGACTCAAATCATGTTTCTTTTAAATGTCCTTTGAGTTTGGGGGAACAAAAAAAAAAGTCTGAAGGGGTAAGATCAGGGTTGAAGGGAGAATGAGATGAAGTTTCCCAATGAAATTCTCATTGGACAATTCTTGCTACCCTCTAAGAATGAACAGGTACATTGTCATAACAGGAAAGAAAAATTCCTTGGTGCAACTTTCCTGGGCTTTTTCTCACCAGTGCAGTTTGCAATTTTCTTAAAACCTCTTCCTAGCAAGCCCCCATGACCTTCCTGTGTCCTTAGAGAAAAATCTATCAAGGTTATCCCTTTAGTATCCTGAAAAACAGCTGCCATAACTTTCTGAGCTGACCACTCTACGCTGAACTTAACTGGCTCAGCAGATCCCTTCAGAAGCCACTATACTGACTGCACCTTTCTTTGAAAGCACCTTAACAAGACTTGTGGTTGTTAAGTGCTGTCAAGTCATCCTTCTCCCTTGGACTAAGATAAATATATTACTAAGAGAACTTGTCTACAACCATACATGGATCACAGAGACATGTTTTGTTTGGAGTAAACTTGTAATGTATGAACTGAACCCTAAAAGCTATGCTTTTTTGACTTACCCTCATATAAGTGATACCGGCACTGAACAAAAGTAACATTGGCCCCTAGACTAGGCTCCTTCTGGGCTCCTACACTCCTAGATCACACTGTTGTAATTGTGTATCCCCCAAGATGGGGTTCCTGGAGACCAATTACAAAAGGATCCTCATGGTGCGGGTTTCCTGGGATAACCTATCTGAGGCCAGGGAGCAAGAATCAAATATGGAAAGGCTTGAGGGGGCTAATAGCTATGGTGGGTGAGGGAATGAGTCCTGCATCTCCTCCACCTAGTGCATTCCTTGGAAAAATAATGCCTGCTGCACTGTGAACACTAGTCAGGAGCTACACAAGGACACCTCCCGTCTGTATAACTTTAACTGGGACCACTGCGGCAAGATGGAACCAGAGTGTAAGCGTCATTTCATCCAGGACACCTGTTTCTACGAGTGTTCCCCCAACCTGGGACCTTGGATTCAGCAGGTATGGGTACCATCCCCACAAACATGAGCCATGACACTTGCAGGGAGGGCGTGATCTGAGGGTAGCAGAGGCACTACCTTGGCCTTCAACCCTGGTCCTCAACAAGGCTGTGACTGCTGAGATCCCTGGTTGACAGGGGCTCTTCTTCCTCCCCAACTCACCCAGGTGAACCAGAGCTGGCGCAAAGAGCGTTTCCTGAATGTGCCCCTGTGCAAAGAGGACTGTCAGCGCTGGTGGGAAGACTGCCGCACCTCTTACACCTGCAAGACCAACTGGCACAAGGGCTGGGACTGGACTTCAGGTGAGAACTTGGGGATGGGAGATAGAGCTGGGATTCAGAAAAGGTTCTTGTTTTTTGTTAGGATGGTGCTGGGTGAGGGTTTCTGGGGGTGGTCAGAACTAAGCTGTGGGCCCAGGAGCTAAAATTCTATGTCCACCGTATCTCCCCTTGCAGGAGTTAACAACTGTCCATCCAATACCACCTGCCAGACATTTGAGTTCTACTTTCCCACACCTGCTGCCCTATGTGAGGGCATCTGGAGTCACTCCTACAAGGTCAGCAACTACAGTCGAGGGAGTGGCCGCTGCATCCAGATGTGGTTTGAACCAGTCCAGGGCAACCCTAACGAAGAGGTGGCAAGATTCTATGCTGAGGCCATGAGCGGGGCTGAGTCCCATTGGGTCCCAGCCTGTCCTCTCCTGCTCAGTCAGGTCCTCCTGCTCAACTGGCTGCTCAACTCTTCTTCTTCTACCTTCTGATCCCTCGACATCACAGCCCTGTTCAGTCCCACCCAGAGTTCCTAATTACTCAGTTTGAGTTCCATAGGAGGCCTCTCTGAAAGCTAGTTTAAATGAACAGATATTCTACTTGTGTTTTGTAAATTATTAGGGGGTGACTGGGAAGCCATTGTTTTGCTTCTCAGTTCCCACTGATTGAAACCAGTTGTTGTAGGTTCCACACAGTCAGCCACCATCTTCACAATCATGCCTTTATCTGAGCACACTGATACAGCCAACTGTGTCAGTCTATCTCATTAAGGGCCATCGCAGCGTTAATACTTTACTGTAAACTGAAGTTAGATCCTAACTCTTCTTCTGACCTAGGACACATTCATAACTCTCAATTTCATTTTTTAATGGATCTCTAATCTAGAGACATAACCAGACTTTTACCATTTAAATGGGGCCCAAGCCTCCCAGAATTGCCTGTTCTACACTCAGCATATTCTAGATGGATAACTAGGAAGATGTTAAGGAGACCAGAAAGTACTCTTTTCTACTAACAGCTAATACCCACAAAGTACTGTCTGTCGAGAATTGTTCTAAATGCTTTGTATTTGTTCCTATATAAGGTGTAGGTACTGTTGCCTGCATTTCACATATGTGAAGACAGGCACATAAATAAAAAACATAGTATCTCTTTCTTGCTCAACCTACAATATTTAATGTGTGTTGGGGAGAGGGTCAGCAAAGGAGGATTCTGCTTCTCACTCATAATCTAGGTTTATGAAGATTTGAACCAGCCTAGGGCAACTCCAGTCAAGAGGTGGTGAGGGTTTATGCTGAGGCAGTGAGTGGGGCTGACTGAGCCCTGTGGGACAGGGCTCATCTTGCTCAGTCTGGTCCTGAAGTTATTACTGTAGCTCATTGGCTGAGTCCAGCCCTGCCCAATCCTCCTCTCTGTCTGGCCCCAGCCTGGACAACCAGGCTAAGTGTATCCTCAACTCCCACACATGAGGGAAACCTACCCATACTTCTCTAACTGTTACATCCATCTGTCACTCAGTTTCTGCTCCAATGGTGGAGTTTCCTAGTTCTAATAAACAGACACATCCATGTATCTCATGTGCTGTTCTGTGGTGAGTTTATGGATAGGTGGGGATAGACACCATTGCTTTTGGATTCCTTCAGAAGAGAGCAATTAGACCTAAGTTTCAATCCCAGCTCTGCCACTTGCTGTATGAAAGTGAAACTGTCACTTCTTTGCTCTAAACCTCAGTTTCCTCCTCAATGAAATGCAGACAATAAATAAACCTTCTCTCAAGGATGTGAAAGGCAAAGGAGCTGTTGCCTAGAATAGAATGGAAGCGAGCCCCAGTGCCTATACGTTAGTCTTCAGGCATCCTGTTGCTTCTGCAACCCCAAATGAGAGCCAGACCCAGATCCAAGGTTTATTAATTATATTGACCCCTACACACCCCTCCCACTCCCCAACCCTTGTCTGTGTGGCCCTCTTCTGCAACAGAAGAGCTGGAAATGAACTTACAGACTCTGGATACCAAGGGGGGTAAAGACACTGCTGACTATGATGTGAATGGGAGCACCTCAGTGGGTTCAGATGGCAGAATTCTTACTTACCATGTGCGAGACCTGGTTTCAATTCCTGATCCATGCACCTCATGCACACGCACTCCCCATCGGTCAGTGGAGGCTTGCAAGTTGCTAGGATGCACAACAGGTTTCAGTAGTGTTTCTAGATTAAGAAAGAATAGGAAGAAAGTCCTGGTGATCTACTTGTAAAACTCAACCAATGAAAACCCTATGGATCACAACAGTCCAGGCAGGTTTAGTGGTGCCTGAGGACACCACTTGACATGATGATGTGGACATGAAGAGTTGGGTCTTGAGACCCTCAGAAAAGAGAGAGAGTTGATTGGAGAGCGTAGTCTGAGAAATTCCTGAAGAGGGAACTTTCAAGAACCCAGCTGTGTCCGTCTGTCAGGGAGGCATGGCTAGAAGGGTGGAAAACACTTAGGGGCTTCAGAGGGGCAGGAGCCAGGCCTCCTATTGCACTTCAGGACTGCTGTGCCTCTGCCCAATTCTGAGGAGCAGAACCTGTGGTGGTCTTTGAGTCTCCCGCCTCCTCCCCAACCCCTCAAGTTTTTTTCTCCACACTCAGACTGCAGTTTCCTCATTCCAGAACGGTCCAGAAGCCTGAGACTACCTGGCAACTGGGTAACATCTGGGTGGTGGAGCTAGGGATAGAACCCACGTATACAGACTCCTTCCAAGTCCGGGTCTCTCGACCCTGCACACTTAGGCCAGACTTACCTTCCCTCATACAACTGATGAGGGAAGCCAGGCACAGAGCGGAGAATGAGTTATTCGATTGGGGGCAAGGTCTGGAGAGACTGTTAGGTGAGTAGGAGAGTGGGGGCTGGTTTTTATTATATTTATCTGGTCTGGAAAGCCCCACACAGAGAGCCACCTCCAGGTTCCAGGCTTTGTTCCAGCTAGGTTAAGCCAATGGATATTTGAAATGGAGGTAGGAGCGTGCCAGTATTGACCCAAATTCCGTCAACAGGTTCAATTTAGGAAAGTGAAAATTGTATCCGAGGTTAAAAAGCACACCGAGACGCTGACCTAGGAGTTGGCCGCAGTGGGCACCTGATTGGATGCCTGCGCCTTTAAGGAGCCAGGAGGCAAAGGGGCGGGGCAGGAAGCGGACTCCCCGGAGACGCAGCCAAGGGCTAAGTCTTTTTTTGGGGGGAAAGGGCGGGCCAGGGCCTCTTTTGGGTCCCGCCCCCTTTCCGGCGGCCGGGGCCTCCTCCCGCCTCGGTCGGAGGGGAGGAGGTGGGGCTGGGGGGCGTCGTAGCGTACTGAGTCTTGGGAGCTTTGGGCTCGGTGTCCCGCCCACAGAGGCCCAAGTTTGTTGACTTGGAGGGAGTTGCTGGAGCGGGGGCGGGTGCTAATAATACCCGTTCGTTTTGCAGTCGCGCTTTACAGTTTACACAGCTGTCACCTTCGTTACTCCTTAATTAATAATAAAAATAGCCGCCTTCTGGAGCGCCTGCTGGGTGCCAGGCCCTGTGCCGTGAGCTTTACAAGCACAGTCCCATTGACTCTGCCCTCGTAACGTTATCCCCATTTTACAGAGCGAGAAGCCAAGGCTCTGGAGAAGTGCCGTGACTTGCTCGAGGTCACTCTGCGGGCCAGAGGCTCCTGGACCTAGCAGTTTCTCTGGAAGGCGGAGCGCGGGTCTTACCCCGGCTCCGCTGAAAGCCGCGGGGGCGGAGCGGCGGGCGGGGCGGAAGACGGGGGGGGGGGCGTGCGGCGGCGGAGGATGGCCATCTTAAGTGGCCGCTGAAAGTCCAGTACCGTTTCCCTGGGAAGGGGACACCGGAGCAGCCCCGGAGTTGGGGGTTTGAGTACGACCACTGCCGCTCTGGGAAGATGTCGGGAGTCCGAGGGTTTGGGGGAACCCCTCTTAGGTGGGGAAGGAGTGGGGACCGCTTTGCCTCCCACTGCTTAACCCCTTAAGGCTCCAGCCTGCAGGAATGGGGGGTGGTGCCAGGGAACTTTGCCGAAAGTGGGGGAAGGGCTTTTTGTCTGTGCTGGGAGGGGCTGCCATTGACCGGGCGTGAGGTGTTCCAGGACCTGTCTAGGGGTGTGTGGGGGAATCGGATCTCTATGGGGGGATAACTCCCGTGGGATTTGTTGGGGAGCCATACTGTGGAGTTTGGGGAGTTCATATCTAGGGGGACTGGACTTAAATTAAGTTGGGGTCCGTCTCGCTTGGATGATGGGAGATAGGAATGGAGGAAGTTCATGCATCCTTTGCAGGTTTTGGGAACCCAATCCAGTGGGGTAGGGAAGCCGGATTTGGGGTAGAATGAGACTTTTATGGGAGTTGAGGTTTTTGTTATTGCAGATATGGTAAGGTAGCTTAATTCTCGGGGCTGGGGGGAGGACAGCACACCGAAGTGTCGGGACGCACTATGGGGAAACTGGACATCGATGGGGGACCCGGGGGCTGGATCTTCGAGTGGTGGTGTTAGGGGACAGGATCATTGTAAAGTTTGGGAGTCTTGTTAGCCCCCCGTAGAGGACACTGGGTCCTGTGGAAATGTGGGGTGCATGATCCCCGCGAGGAAGAGGTTGGGGGCTGGGGCGCTCTGGGCTTTGGGCCGAGTGGAGGGGGAGGGGGCCAGTCTCTGGCTCCGCGCTCCACTCCTGCCCCTCCCCCGCCGCCTCTGAACAAACTTTTCTTTCTCTTCAAGTTGAGGCCGGCACTGAAGGCGGCGGCGGCTGCTCGGCGAACGAGGCGGCCTGTGCGACGGGGCACGGAGCCCTGATTCCCTGCCTGGTCCGGCCCGCGGATCCTCAGGCTTGGCGCTCGGACCCCGCCCCAACCCTAGCCCGCAGCGGCCCGGGCTGATGGCTAGGGGCTGCTAGCGCTGAGCCCTGCGCGGGGGGCCATGGCCTCGGCGTGCGGGGCTCCGGGCTCGGGGAGTGCTGTGCCGGGGGGCGTCGCGCTGGGTAGCCCAGCCCCCGCCTGGTACCACCGCGATTTGAGCCGCGCCGCTGCGGAGGAGCTGCTGGCCCGGGCAGGCCGCGATGGCAGCTTCCTGGTCCGAGACAGCGAGAGCGTAGCGGGGGCCTTCGCGCTCTGCGTGCTGTGAGTGGGACGGGGGTTCCTGGCTGAAGGAAGGGAGGGGTCGAGGGGGCATGATCTAGGGGTGTGTGGGTAACTGTGCCCGTGGGACACCAGCGCCCCCCAGAGTGGGTCCTTGGCTTTATCCTGGGGCTGAGGTAGATGCAGGGGACACTTCCTGCTTTATATGTGGGGGCACTCTCTGGGGCTCTGAAAGCTTCATGTGTGGCCCCTCCAGCCCAGGCCAGGGTGGATGTGAAGGGAGGGAAATGCAGACAGTTCCAGGTACCCGCAAGGTGGAAGGGCTGGAGGTATGAGAATAGGTTTTACAAGGCTGCGTTCGAGTTCTCTTTATAATGGGATTTCGTGTCCTAGTGGTAGGCAG